GAAGATATTGGAAGCATACTGTGTTGTCTAATGGTAGACCCTGCTGCCATATGACATATCAAAAATTGTGACCAAGTCCCAGTTGCTGATCTGACCTTCTGCCTCATTTACACAAAATTGCAGGGTTTCAATTGTTTATCTTCCTATGAAAATACAACATACATACTGTACAGTATATCGTTTCTTGCTACTGATCATTTTGGGGGTATTTATGGTCCTTTATTATTATTTATTACATATTATTATTATTATTATTATTAGTAGTAGTAGTAGTAGTATTAATTTATATTTTTATTTAATTATTTTTATTTTTTCATTAATTTTTATTATTATTATCAGATTATATTTTTGCCCCAGGCCCTGATGTGGGTCATTGATCTGTGCCCTGGTGGGCTAATCCCATAAAAAAGTATAGCATATCTTTGTTAATTTATTTTACTGTTAAAGTAAAGCAAAAAATTGTATCATAACAACATGCCATGCCCTTGGCATTGCAAACATCCAATTACAATTCCATAGTACTTGTACCATACTCACTCTGTTGACCATCATTCATCCTCTAGTTTAGCCCCTTTTTTTTTGTTCGATTTATGCCGAGTACAGTATGATATAGGTTCCGTGCAGGTCATCTGTAACTATTTACTGTTCACACTGTGGTCAGGTCTACCTACCTTATTATCACCTCCACAGTACAGTACTCCCTCTTTATCGACGGATTTTTTATCGGCGGTTTCGACTATCGACGGATTATTTAGCCGAGATTTTTATTTTGGCTTTATTTGAACTCCGCGGGCCTTGTTTGTACTTTCGCCGCTAGGCGGCACTAGTGGCGTGACTAGCGCCTACCCGCGGCCCGCCTTCCCTGAACACAAACATCAGCCAAGCCGAGTGGGCAACAGTCTTTGATTTTCAACTTTTGCTGGTGGTTCATCACATGAAATTATATCACTATGCCTCCCAAACGACCTGCTGCTCCCTCTGGATCTACACCTAAGAGGGCAAGACGAGTGCTGACGCTGAATGAGAAGAATGAAGTGCTGAAACAACTCGACAGCGGTATGAGCTATGCAGCTGTTGGCCGCCACTTTGGGCTCAACGAATCCAGTGTGCGTGGAATTAAACGACGTGCAAAGGATCTGAAGCACGCTTTAGCTTCAAGTGCACCAGTGACATCAAAAGTGACAAGCCATGTGCGTGATGATGCCCTCATTAAAATGGAAAAAGCACTGAACATTTGGATAGAGGACCTAAACCGCCGCCGCATACCACTTGACTCGAAATTTATTAGGCAGAAAGCTAAGGAACTTTATGATAGGTTTTCTAAAAGTGATGATCATGGTGTTGGTGATGGTGATGGTGATGATCAGGGTGATGGTGATGGTGACAATTTGAAAAAATTTGCAGCTAGCAAAGGATGGTTTGAGAAATTCAGACATCGTTATGGGCTGCATAATATAAAAGTGACTGGCGAAGCAGCATCAGCAGACACTGTGGCAGGGGAAGCATACCCTGCAGAGTTTGCTAACCACATAGCACAAAAGGGTTATAGGCCGGAACAAGTTTTTAATGCTGATGAGACAGGCCTATGGTGGAAGAAGATGCCACGCCGAACCTACATCTCTAAAGAGGAAAAAAGTGCCCCTGGATTTAAAGTTGCGAAGGACCGAGTGACAGTGATGCTATGTGGGAATGCGGCAGGGCATATGATTAAGCCCATGTTGTTATACACTGCCGCACGACCTCGGGCTCTCAAAAATAAAAACATGAACTTGCTACCAGTTTTCTACAGGAACAACAAGAAAGCGTGGATGACATCTGATTTGTGCGTGGATTGGCTGAAAAACTGCTTTGCTAGAGAGGTGAAAAATTATCTGGATGAACTTGGCATGGAGTTCAAAGTGGTATTATGTCTAGATAATTGCCCTGGCCACTCTGAAGAACTCAAGACTGCCCACCCCAACATTGAGGTGGTTTTCCTGCCAAAAAACACCACCTCCATCATCCAGCCAATGGACCAGGGAGTCATTGTCGTGTTTAAGGCTAAATATGCAGAGAAGACTTTCAGCATGATTCGTGAGTGCCTTGATAAGGATGCTGATGTGACACCCAGAGAAATGTGGAAGAAATTTGATATTGCACAGTGCATAAACTTCATCGCTGAAAGCCACAATGAACTGTCGCAGAACTGTGTCCGATCATGTTGGAAAAAATTGTGGCCTGAAATTGTCCCAACATTCACAGGGTTCCCAACAGCCGAGCCTCAGTTACGCAACATAATAACTATGGCAAATGAAGTTGGAGGTGAAGGGTTCTCTGACCTAACAGCGGAAGAGGTGCAAGAAGAGTTATTGGGAAATGTTGGGGACCCATTTACAAGTGATGAACTAGAACAATTAGTGGAGCTGCAGGATGAAACAGACGATGAAGTGAGTGATGATGAAAATAAGAACTTAACTTTAGATAATCTTGGTGAAGTGATAAGAATGAGTAAGGCCCTCTCTGCTCGTCTCTATGACATTGATCCCTCCCTTGATAGGTCCCTTAAAGCAAAGAGAGCTATTGAAAATGTTATGTTGCCATATATTGAACTGCAGAGGGAAATGAGAAGCAAGAAAGCACAGACCACCATCACCAACTTCTTCAGTCGCCGAGTGCCTGTCATCGCCGAACCTGCCGACACCTCACAACAACAAGACGTAGAAGCTGCCGGCACCTCACAACAATAAGACGCAGTACCTGCCCACACCCCTCAAGAAGATGCAGACCTTGACTAATCATACTCATCTGACTGGTCAGGCTTTTAATAAGCCTCAATCATCACACTTGTATATACTGTATATACTGTATTGTTTACTGTCAGGACCGATGTTCACTTCAATAAATTAAATGGTAAGTTTGCTAGTATTTTTTTCCACTTATTATATTATTATTTATACACTATTATTTAAGGTTATGTGTAAAGGAAACGCATTAATGCTTAAAGGTACATTTATTCAACATATGCTAATAATAGTTAGAAAAATTACGCAACCATCACGGTATCGACGGTTTCTTTATCGACGGCCGTTTACAGAACGTAACCCCCGTCGATAAAGAGGGAGTACTGTATATACCTAAACATCTTAGGAGTTGTAATACCTATCCTAAAATAGAAAATAAAATAAATGAATGAATTTGACTTAATGGTCTGAAGCTTTTCCATTCATTCTGTACAAGTTGTGTCATTTGTACCGAAAGAATAAATCAGTTGAGAGTACAATGAGCATGTGCATCATTAATTCCTCCCCACCCTACTGTATGGCAGCAAGACATGGCGTCACCTCAAGGTTACTTGAAAACTTTCACCAACGTAATCTATGTTCGCTGGGAAGACAAGAGAACAAATGCCAGTATTCTCACTGACACTAACTGTAGAAGCATCGAGGTTACCATTATCAATGAACAACATTGGACTGGCCATGTTACCCATATGGACGACAGTAGACCGCCAAAGCAGCTACTCTACAGTCACCTAATGAATGGTAAACGTAACACTGGTGGGCAACAGAAAAGGTATAAGGATAGTCTTAAGACAAACCTGAAAAAGTGTCAAATCAACCCTCTCACCTGGGAGACGATCACTCCACACCATAACGCTTGGAGGAGCACCACACGAGAAGGTGTCGATACTTTCAAGTTAGCCTGACAGCATACCGAGCCAGATAAGTGCCAGCACTGGAAAGACGCTGCCGCTGCCCCTCCCTCACTAGATGTAGCCCCCCACATGTGCAACATCTGTATACAGCCCTGACGGCCCTGTATTGGCCTCTCAATTCACATCCGAGCTCACCGACGAAGGTTACATCTTCATTAACTCATATCATTGTATCTAAGACAATTCTTCTATGACGTATCCCTCGCAAACTACCTAGAGCCAAGGTATTCAATATGGCAGAGGGTCCGGGGGTATTATGGAGCTTACCATGGGTAATAAAAATATTTTGTGATAGAGGCTGTGTAGCACCAATACCTGCAACATCACCCAAAAAACTGCTGTCGATACTGATACAATCACACTTGACCACTGTTAATCAAGTGTTACATAAACTAACTGGACTTCATTTAACCCTGACCTAAGTGCCAATCGATTGGATTTTCTGACAAATTCTGTAACAAAAATAATAATCCAGCTTGCTATAAGACAGCAGCTTCATAATTTCATCTAAATATCTCTCACTGCCAATACCCCATGATGATAACTTTATGTATTACAACTAAAAATTCATGTAACAACAGCTGCAAATCAGAACAGGGTTTTATGCTCTAGTTTCAAAGCACCTAGTCAGAAGGTGGTTGGTAGCCTTGATGCTGCTGTGTGTGATGCAATCAATGCCCAGAGCAGCTCTGAGCTTCACCCTCACATAACCTTACCCACACTTTCTATTACCACCTCACTTACTCCACGGTTGCAAACCTGAAAATTTACAACCCAGTATACAGTCTGGTCACATGAAGCAATAAACAATGTTTTTAATTATGAACATTACAGTAATGAAAGTCAATGGAAAATGTACAAAATCATAATACTGTACAGTACGTGTATAAAATTGACTTACAGAAATGTTATGAAAGGGGCAGTAAGGGGTGATAGTGAAGAATGTATTTCGAACAAAACTTTGTGAAAATGCCCTGAATAAAGTGAACAATGCACTTTCTCTATTGTATTACCTCGATTCACTCAAAGGTTTCTGGATGCTTGTGAAAATACAGTTGATCCTTGATACAGTACAGGTCTCTTTCCATCATGACTGGTAATTCAAAAAGAAAATGGACATATTTGAAGGAATTATAAATACAGGTATAGTATTACTGTATCAAAGGTACCTATGGTTTTGCTTTTGTTTTTCATAAATGAGTAGAAAGAATAATCACAAAGGTGCTTGGATTTTTTTCCTTTACCCCCTCACCTCCTCTACATTCTGTCACTGTATTTACACATCAGAACAAGATTATGTACTTACCTTTGAGTTGATGAATTCACATGCCCGATCTTTCAAGGTTTTAAGAGTGAGCTGTGATGCATTGACAGTTGTCGTATCCCGGATCAGACCGTGCTGTAAGGAGAAGCTTATATCTGCTCCAGTCACCTCCATCTGAAGAGAAATTAAATGAACCACAATGAGATTATATGTCATGTTACCAAAACTGTGTTCAAGCATCAACTGCATCATTAACAGAAGCATTAAAAAAATACAGTACTGTACCTGGATACCTATAAACCATATATTGCAAAGCAGTAAGCTCCTAATTGAGGCCTTACCGTATATTCCAAAATAGTAAGTGAAGTGATTTGATAGTTTCCAATTTTATCAAACGACAGTACAGGGGCCCCCCAAATTTGGCGGGGAATAGGTTATCAAAATGGCAGCGAATCGCCAAATTCACGAATAACATTTACGGACCGGGGGGAGGTACATCTTTACTTGTGTACAAAGAAATGTATACCCTGTATTCCCTTTATGTGCTTGCCCTTAGGACAACTATTTCTTTTACCTGTATTATATATACTGTATGTGTGTGTGTGTGTGTGTGTGTGTGTGTGTGTGTGTGTGCATACACACAAAACACATACAAATAAATAATATTGGGAAATATTCTCACAAATACCGTAATCAGAAACAAATTTATTTAAAATGTAAGTCTAATAAATTTGTTTCTGATTATTTGTAAGGATTTTCCAATTATTATTTATTTGTAAGTGTTTTGTGTGTGTATGTCGCCTCACACACACAAACACACATATTTACAATACAGGTAAAGGAAATTACTGTCTCTTGAACAAATGGCTCCCTGTCCCAGCCGCAAAAACTACCCACAGACATTCTTGGGTACATCCAGGGTGTCATCCGCGAATAATAGAGGACCACGAAATAAAAATCCACGAACTTGGGGCCCCCTTGTATCTGAAGTATAGCTGTAGCTGCTATTAATTTCATTTATCTTTGTAAGAGCATGCTTCAAAATATACGAGCAGAAGAATTCCTGCCAACACGTAAATTCTGATCGTATTAAAGCAGATTCAGGTGCAGTGGTTTTATTTCTCCATACCCGTATATGACCTAATTACAGTGCAATACTGCACAAGAACTTAACATAAAACAAAGCTTTATACATTGACTTTTTTTTCTACATGTACAGTATTTGATTCCTGTAGACTTGTGATTTCATTATGACATGATTTAAATAAATATCTTACCATAAAAAAATTCATGACAATCTTTTTTTAAAGTTGCTGTTCCTTAGAGTATGAAACATTCCTGCTCACATAAAGACAGTCAAAGTGCAAGAATATTCACATTTATGTTTGTATCTACCAAGCAACGAGTGTTGGTGGTACTGTACTATACAGGTACTCCTCGCCTTACGACCTACGACCACCCGGACATACGACCGCCTCAGTCATACTAAACAAATTTCAAATTAGGTACGTATTTTCCAGTACCGAAACGTTTCCGTCCTGTACGAGAGCGTGGCGTGGGCTGGGCCACCTCGTGGTGTAAAGCGTCCACGCCATAGAGCGCTCAGTTGGTGTTTGGCCGTCGTTGTTGTCAATAGTGATCGCGCTGTGTACTAACAATATTTTCAATATTTTCGGTTCTAATTCCCTTCAAAATGACTGGCAAGCATAAAAGTGAGAGTTCTGGTGGTGCTCAGAAGAAACAAATGGCAGAGGCATTTGCTACTATTAATAAGGGGATGCAAATGTTTGACGAAATGGATCAAAATGTTGAGCGTTTTGCAAAGTTGACAGAATGATCCAAGATGCACTTGCTTGCTACAGGGAGATTTACAATGAAAAGAAAAGGCAAACTGTGCAGTCTAAATTGGACATATATTTTAAGGAGTCCCCCACTGCTGTCTCCTCACGCCCCACCAGTGCTGCCTCTTCACTCCCTAAAGATGATCCAATACCTTCAACAAGCAAGTATGTTAGCCTGTCTGAAGAAAGTGATATTGATGACCCACCCAGCCCTGTCTCCTTCTCTGCTTCATCCAATTAATGTAGTCTCCATGTTTAATTAAAAAAATATTGGGGCCCCGTGTGCATTCAGCTGACTACATTAAAGGTAAGAGCACAGTAACACTTTATTAATTTTTCATTATTGATTACTTTTACTGTACTGTATTTCACTTTAGATTTTCTATTTATTATTTTTTGCATTTTCGACTTACGACCAATTCGACATACGACCTGGATTTGGGTCCCTAACCCCGTTGTAAGTCGGGGACTGCCTGTGTACAGTGGTAATGTGTGTATCCCTCACAACAATGTCATGGGTTAGAGTCCTGGCTCAGACACAAGTGAGAAGGGTGATATCCAGGTTTCCTCCGAGTACATAATTCACTGGACAATATACAGGTACGTACTTTATAGAAGTTCAAAACAAGTAAGAAAGACACACAGATATCACTCACAGTTGTCAAATGTGTTCCTTCACCACAGTGTTTGTAGAGCGAATTAAGTAGCTGTGAAAAATTTCAGAGAGTGAATTATTACTTCTGGTGTCATATGACATTACAGTACATCACAGCTGCTCCAAGATATTTGAAATAGGTGAGAAAAATCAAGATGTACCTCATATGTCCATAGGACACTGGTCCCAAGTGTATGAAATATGTCTGTAAGTCTGAAAGGATTAAAAAAATGATATGACAATTAAAGAAAACTTCAAAAATAAGTTGACCATAAGGTTCCTTGGGTCAACTAATGCTACAAAAACACACTGGGACAAATCTCCCCAAAATGCCTTTCCTCAAACTTGTTAGAACAAGTTCTTTCTGACTGTAAGGTTCTTGGGAGAGTAAACATAAATGTATCCTCTGGAGGGCAATACAATTGACAAGGAACCTATAGGTTATGCAAGATAGACTTGCCTAGCACACCAGGGATAGGAAACCTCTTCCCTCAATATCTTACTACTCCAGTATCTGAAATGTCAACTGTCCAAGGCAGCTTCACCCAAACTTTCAAGACTCAATCTACAACCTTTATACATCTTTCCATTCTAATGGAGATGTATGAACCAACTGCAATACACATACATTTAAAGCTCAACTTACAGATCTTCAATCTTCCCTTTCCAATGTCATTTGGCTCAAACTATCTCTACCAACTATAACTATTTTTCTTTGTTTTCTATAATGTTCTCCCAACTTTTCCAACTACCTGTATATGGAACTCTTTCACTATCTCACTTCTTGCCATGAGTCATTGCTTTCCTCACACCCCAACACCGAGATCCTCTACCTAAGGGTTTGCAAGATAGCTACATCACAGAAAGTGGCTTAGCTCTGTAATTAAGGGATGACCCAGGAGGAGTCGAGACATTGTCCTTTTCCTTACTTAATGATCTTTAACAAATAATTAAACACCTTACACTCGTTCCAGATCGACACAACCAACTTGCTAACATTCTTGATCTTTGTTTTACCTCTAACCCCTCTCACTCTTCATACTCAATATCTGTCCCCCCTCCCCCCCAGGGTCTTCTGATCACAATCTTATCTCTATTAACTCATACAGGGCCCGACCACCTCCCCCACCCCCCTCTAAACGCCAACTATAGCATTATCGGAGGGCACACTGGCAATCCTTGCAAGAATTCTTCTCCAACTTTCCTGGGATGAATGCTGCTTTTCCACTCGGGACACCTCGGTATGTGCTGACAGCATTGCTGGGGTTATACTTGGTGGTATGAGTGCATTTATCCCATCTTCTACCAAAACTTTCACTTCACAATCATGGTTTGATCACTCCTGTTCTCTTGCATGTGGAGAGAGAGATAAGGCATATCAAGTTATGAAACTTCTGTTTCTCACTCCTCGTTCATTACATCTAGGAATCATTGTAAAGCTCTTCTTCATAGGGTCAAGTGGAATTTTATTAAAGAGAGACCGCTGACCTGACTAACTCTTCTTTTAGTAAATCTTTCTGGTCCTTAACTAAAAACATCTGTAATAACTTCTGCACTACCTCTTTTCTGACTTGGTAACTCCATAGCCAAAACTCCCTTTGATAAAGCCAATCTCTTTTAACACCTTATTTTCCTCTAACTCCACCTTAGACAATTCCAGCTCTACCCCTCCTACTCTTACTGAACCCATGCACTTTCCTATAACCTCCAATCTAGATATGAATAAGGCCCACGGACCAGATGGAATACCCTCTCGTGTTCTGAAGTTCTTTGGTGTACTGTACTGACCAGATTACTTCAAGATGTCATCACCACCACACCATTGTTTTACGGTCATTTTCCACACTTGCACTGTCTCTTGAAGCCTCTCTTGTCAGGCTCTTATTGCTGAGGTTATTTCATACAACTTCTCCGCAATTGATTCTCCATATTCAAACAAATGTATTTCTTGACCCAGTTGGTCTCCTTGCTCTCCACATGCCCAAACCATCTCGGCCTACACAAAACCTTGCCAGTACTCTCAATACTGAAGGTTCTCTTGCTGTCAATAAAGGCAACAGCTCACACTGCTGATGGTCAATTTCACTCTTTTCAACTTAGCACAAAAAGTTTCCTTTATATTTCATTAAATTTCAACATTTTCCTTCTTGGAACATACACCTTCCTCTCTCTGCACATTTTAAACATGTCACACACAAGCAAACTGTGCTGCAAAGGCACATTCTTCCCCTGCTATCACCTTTACATCCCAAACAAGCATTCAGTCTGATTTCCTGACACACATGTAATTAATCTAGGATTTTGTGTAAACTGACCCATACATGATCAGCGTACCTGCCCTCTCCTTAAACAATACGTTGCATACAACCATATTTAGTGCATCTACAAACACAAGTACATATTCCTTTACCTTCAATATTTTTTGTTTCAAAGCCTTTTCTATCATACACACCTTCACAACTCACTGTGTTCACCAACATGAACCTTAAGATCACCATACAGTACAGTACAGGTACTCCTCTACTTAAGAACATTCGACTTACAAACTTTCAGAGATACAAACATCATCATTGAGGGCAGTTACCTTCCAGAGTACGATGTTTAATGTAGACGAGACCGGATTATTTTGAAGAAAATTTCAGATAGAACATACATTACCTAAGAGGCAAAGATTGAGC